ATAGAAGATGAATTAAAGTTTCAGAAAGAGACGAACGCTGACTTGGCTTTACAGCTAAAGAAAACCCAAGAGTCAAACATTGAACTTGTTACCATACTTCAGGAACTGGAAGATACCATAGAAATACAGAAAATAGAAATTTCAGATCTGTCAAAAATCCAATCCAAAAGTCAAAAAGCGGGAAAGTATCACCTTGAAGTCCAAGATAGTGAGGAGACCAAACCAATGAAGAAATCTTTTGCTAAGGTTACAAGAGAGGCCTCTTGTGATTCAGGTATGGAAGGCAGTACTGTTGAACAAGAATTGGATGATTTACCTGTAGGTTCTGAATCAGAGGACAGCAGGAGCCTGGAGCTGGAGTTACAGCAACTGCAAGATTCACAAAAGAATTTAGAAATTACTATCCATCCTCCGGAAAGATCTCTTGAGAACAAAATCCATGCAATTGAGGTTGAGCAAAGTTTAAAAACTCAAACTCTAATGGATTGTGAAGCAGAATGGAGAGAAAAATTAGCTGCCAAGGATGGAAAGATCACCAATTTGGAAGCAGAGTTATTCAAAGCTCTTAATCCTCTTGATTTTCGAAATGGAGATGATCGTGATCTGATTAAAGAAATTGAAGTTCTGACACAGAAGATGGAGGAACTTGAGAGAGATTGCAGTGAGCTTACAGAAGAAAATCTAGAACTTGCACTTAAGCTCAAAGAGTCAGGAAAGTATGGTGCCTTGACTAGCCCTTCATCAAATGAATGTTTGGGGAATCATTCTCTCTTCACCTCTGAATCTGAGGTTAGAAAATTGAGATCCCAAATATGCAAGCTTGAAGAAGAGATGAGTAAGAAGGAAATAATTAGCCAACAACTTTCCACTGATTGTTTGCAGATTCAATGTGCAGATCTTGGAAAAAGGTGTGCTGACCTGGAGCTTCAGCTGCAAGCTTCCAAGGACAAAACACTCTACCTTGATTCTGAACTCAGTAAATATCATGCAAGAGCAGAGCGACAGGAAGTCGAGATTGCTACACTACGAGAACAGTTAGAACATTATGAAGGAATGGAAACTGGGGTCAATGTCGGTCCTTCAGACATCAAGCTTTCCGAATCACAAGCTACTGCTGAAATGGCTAAAACATTATCTGAGTTGCAGGAGCACATCCAATCATGTTTAGCCAATGTGAAGAAGCAACAATGTGATCCATGTTTTCCGATAAATGGAGAATGTAGTTCTGCTTTTGATAAGCCTGTCATTTCAAATGATACAGATTTGTTTAATCAAAAAGAGAAAGCAAAGTCTATTCTGAACAGTTTTGTCCAGCTAAAAGATTTGTTTGAAGCAAAATCTGCTTTGTTCAAAAATGAAGTTCACCAAAGCAAAGAGGTAAGAGCAGAAGTGGTGAATTCTGATGAGCTCCGGAACAATTTGGAGGCTTATGACTCAGGAAAGAATACTTTCAGCACTTGTGGTCCACAACCAGAAAGCTTGCAAATGGAATCTACACCTGAGATGACAGATTTAGAAAAGGAGCTTTTGGAAAAGATATCTGGCATGGATAAGCTTAATTCTTCGAATGAACAAGAGATAGATGCTCTAAGGCATTCCCAAACGGAGCTAGAAACACAGATTTCTAATCTTCAGAACGAGAGATGGCTGTTGGAGCAAAATCTTGAAGTTACGCTAAGAGAAAGCATGGTGACCTCTAAATGCCTGGATGATTTACGAAAGGAAATGACGAAGCTTAGTAGTAACAGGGATTCACAAGCTTCAGCCAAAGAGATCCTAGAAAGGAAGTTGTCAGAGCTGGAAAGTGGCAAATTGGAGATGGAAGTTCACTTGTCTGAACTAGAAAAAGAAAATGTACAGTTTTCAGAACGAATATGTGGCTTGGAAGCACAATTAAGATATTTGACCAACGATAGGGAATCAACCAGCGAGGAATTGCATAACTCAGAATCTAGTAATGTGAGTCTCCGGGAAGAGATAAGAAGACTGGAAAGTGAATTGGAGGCACAAAAAGTTGATGCGAGGCAAAAGATGCAGGACATGCGAAAGCGGTGGTTAGAAGCTCAAGAAGAGTGCGGGTATCTGAAAGTAGCAAATCCAAAGTTACAAACTACAGCTGAAAGTCTTATCGAAGAATGCAGTGTGCTTCAGAAATCAAATGCAGAACTGAGGACGCAAAAGATGCAGTTACATGAGCATTGTACAATTCTGGAAGCTGAGTTAAGGGATTCAGAGAAGTACTTTTCTAATATGTTGAAGGAAGTAGAAGCTCTTGAAGGAAAGTATATATTGCTGCAGCAAGAAATTGCCTCAAAAGAGCAAGCACTTGGTATAGAACTAGATTCACTTATTCAAGAAAACAAGAAATATAAAGAGAAACTTGCCATGGAGGAGAATTTTCTGAACCAGATGCACATGGAGAAAACAGTTGAAGTTGAGAATCTTCAAAGAGAGGTTGCACATCTGACTGAACAGATATCCGCAACTCATGGAGAAAAGGAAAGGACAGCTTCAGAAGCTGTGATTGAAGTGTCTCATCTGCGTTCGGGTAGAGCTATGCTGGAAGCTTCTCTGCAAGAATTACAAGGAAAACTCGAATTATCTGAGAGTAACCTCTGTACCCTCCAGATGGAATCAGAGATTAAAGTGCTTGGACTTGTGCAAGAACTTGCTGCTTCCAAACAAAACCAGGAAGTTCTGATGGCTGATCATGAAAAGCTGCTTGAATTGTTAGAAGATGTCAAATCCAATGAAGAGAAACATAAAAGCAGTGTCAAGGGGCTGGAAATAAAACTTAAAGCTTCTGAATATGCAAGGCAACAAGTTGCAGAAGAAACTTCCAGCCTTAAGATCCAATTGCAGAAAACATCACTTCTTCAAGACGAGATTCTGGATCTTAAAAGATCGCTTAATGAGGTCAAATTTGAGAATCAAAAGCTTGAAGCTTCATTGCAGATGTTATCAGGGGATTACGAGGAACTGAAGACCGAGAAAATCCTGTCTATGCAGAAGATTTCTGACATGCAGAGGGCTGTGTCTGAATTAGAAGACTACAAAAGGAGTAAAGTTGCCCTGGAGGAGAAGCTTTTGCGACTGGAAGGAGATTTAACTGCAAGAGAAGCAATAGGTGCTCAGGATGCTGAGCTGAAAAATGAGCTTGCTCGGGCGAAGAGAGCAAATAGTGAATTCCAGAGGAAGATAAGATACCTCGGAGAGGAGAAGCAAGAGTGCCTGAAGAAAGCTCAAAGTCTTGAAGAGGAACTTGAACAGAGGAAAGCATCAAAACAGGATCAACATAGTTTCAGTGATGCTAGCCTCCCCTCTGGTTCTGAATCCAGTGACATGAATTCTTCTACTCCTGATGAATTAAATGTCTCACAGGTACCAACAATTTATATCTCATTTTCAATTGAGAATAATTAATGTAACTTTTTATCAGGGAAATTATTAGCTTGTACATTACTTCTCACCAAATGAAAAAGAGGCTAATAGTTTAGAAGTATTGTCTATGAAATAATGGACTACATGGTTGTTTATTCATTTCTGAAATTCTTTCTCTAATGCAGGTTGGTACGAAATCGAATATTAATACTGGAAATGCTCCCGGTATAGGATTGGATTCTTTGTCAAAGATCCAGCTACTCGAGAATGAACTAGCTGAGGCTTTGGAGGCAAATGATATGTACAAAGCCCAGCTTAAGAGGTTGGTACAAGTGCTCTTTGCTTTCGCTTGCGCAAACATTTGAAATTTGACAGTATCAAAATGTCATCTTAGACAACTATGCTCCCCTGTCACATTATGTCTGATTCACGATGTTTTAATTTCTGCCCATGTTTCAGTTTGTTAACTGAGGAGTACAAGGATCCATTAAATGCTCCCAAGAAGTTGATGGATGAAGATGTAGTAGTAGAAGGAGATGGATATGATGGTAAGATATCATCACTTCAGACAGAGCTAAAAGATCTACAGGAGCGCTACTTCGACATGAGCCTCAAATATGCAGAAGTTGAAGCTGAACGTGCGAAACTTGTACTAAAGCTGAAGCCTGTCAATAATAGACGAAGGTGGTTTTCATGAGTCCAGATGACATCCCGTGGTTTCTAAAATTCAGCCTTTTCCATTCCTGGCCGGAGCTCCCCTTTCCGGAGCTCCATTCTTTTCACTAATTCTATTTATTGTAGATCCCATTGCTACAAATCCTATTTAATAGAACATCGTAACTTCTCCATAGATCGAAGTCTCATATGCAACGATAGTGGCTGCTTATTGAACACAACGAAAACTAAACTAGAAATATGCTCACTTTTGCCACGTTATAGCATGTTCTTGTGTAAAATCACACAGTGAGTGGACGTGCCATCTCCGAAGTGTAATTCAAGTTTTTTTTTACCGTTTCCCATTTGCATCCCGTGTTCAACTCTTGTCCCCGCCATAATGTTGCAGCTGTTTTTTACGTCTCGCCAAAAGATTCCTTCCTTCAATCTTCTCCTCCAGCACCTAGATGAGCTCACAGTTATCAGACTTGGTTCAACGACTTGTCATAATAAAAGTTTGTATTATTAGGCGAGTTAATCTAGATCAATTTAAGTTACATTAAACCAATGCCTTTTAGTTCAGCTAAAAACCTAGTTTCAGAGTCAATCTGCTGGAATGGACTGGACTGAATTTAATATCTATAACTTAGTCTCTTTAGAGGCTTTTGTCAGCATCAATGATAATTTAATATCTATAACTTAGTTTCTTTAGAGGCTTTTGTCAGCATCAATGATCAGTAATCAAAATATTTTCGAGCTTGTCTATTCCTAATCAGGTTTTAACCTGTCTATGTACACTTAAACTGGTCTCATCTTTCACGCATCAAATCCTAGATGACAAAATACCAAAAGAAAAGGTTTCTTGGGAGAGAATTAAACATGATTTCCAGGCTTGTTATTTGTTAAACAAAATCACACAGTGAGTGGACGTGCCATCTCCGAAGTGTAATTCAAGTTTTTTTTTACCGTTTCCCATTTGCATCCCGTGTTCAACTCTTGTCCCCGCCATAATGTTGCAGCTGTTTTTTACGTCTCGCCAAAAGATTCCTTCCTTCAATCTTCTCCTCCAGCACCTAGATGAGCTCACAGTTATCAGACTTGGTTCAACGACTTGTCATAATAAAAGTTTGTATTATTAGGCGAGTTAATCTAGATCAATTTAAGTTACATTAAACCAATGCCTTTTAGTTCAGCTAAAAACCTAGTTTCAGAGTCAATCTGCTGGAATGGACTGGACTGAATTTAATATCTATAACTTAGTCTCTTTAGAGGCTTTTGTCAGCATCAATGATCAGTAATCAAAATATTTTCGAGCTTGTCTATTCCTAATCAGGTTTTAACCTGTCTATGTACACTTAAACTGGTCTCATCTTTCACGCATCAAATCCTAGATGACAAAATACCAAAAGAAAAGGTTTCTTGGGAGAGAATTAAACATGATTTCCAGGCTTGTTATTTGTTAAACTACTGGACTTAAAAGTTGGGCCTTTTGAATTAAGGTCTGGCCCAGTCCAAAATAAACCCGCGAAACGCGAAAATTTTCAAAAGAACCATTGACCCTACCTGCTTTTCAACTTTCGAAAACCCCTGTCCCTAAATTGTAACAACCCAATCTCTCACTGTCTATTTAAATCTTTTCAAATCCGACCATCCACGTTATCGATCCGCGTCTCCTAAAACCAACCAATCACCACTCACCTCCTCTCCTTATATAAACACAGCGCGTAACTCCATCTACCCCATCCATCAAAAGTTCTCCTAAGAAAAAAAAATCTTCCTCTCCCCTCTATATTAATCTCTCTCTTTCAAGAGTTCGAAATGGCACCCAAGGCCGAGAAGAAGCCGGCGGAGAAGAAGCCAGCCGCAGCAGAGAAAGCACCAGCGGAGAAGAAGCCAAGGGCAGAGAAGAAATTGCCCAAAGAAGGAGCTAGCGACAAGAAGAAGAAGAGGACCAAGAAGACTGTGGAGACTTATAAGATCTACATCTTTAAGGTCTTGAAACAAGTCCACCCTGATATTGGGATCTCAAGCAAAGCTATGGGTATCATGAACAGTTTCATCAATGATATCTTCGAGAAGCTTGCTCAAGAGTCTTCAAGGCTTGCTAGGTATAACAAGAAGCCCACCATTACCTCTCGGGAGATCCAGACTGCTGTCAGATTGGTTTTGCCTGGAGAGCTTGCTAAGCATGCTGTTTCTGAAGGGACTAAGGCTGTTACCAAGTTTACTAGCTCTTAGGTGGTTGGTGCCTGTGGGGCTTTTGTGGAATTAGGATTTATGTTTGATGTAAAGGTTGTCTAGGTCCTGATCTGAACAAAATCTATGTAGTTTCTTTTGTTCTAATCAATGAAACTTGGTCTTAGCTCTTATATCGTCTTTATACCTGTTTTGAATATTTGCTTATCTTCCCCGTCCCATTCTGTGCTTTGATTGTTTTGAGATAGTTAGGGTTGGAGGATTTGGGGTTTTTCCTTGACTGGGTCGTATGTGGCAGGACAGCAACGTTAGGAATTTTCCGTAAAAACAAAACCCTGTTTTGCAAATCTCTTCCCAAGTATGCTTGTCTATCTTCCGCACCAAGAGGTTGATCCTGTCTTGTGGGTTATCAACATTTGCGATATATGATAAAACAAACGTTTTCTTTTAAATTTTGATGGTTTGTTTTTCCATTCACCAAGCAATCATTCTTATTATATGTAATCTCTAAAAGATGAGATTGAAATGGTAAAAGTATCCATAACAGCCTAGGATTTAAGGAAGAGACCGCTGTTTGTGCATTTTAACAAGCAGCTGGAAGGCACAGCAAGATAGCTGCTATGATAACACTCAATAGGATGCTCAATCAGTACAGTAACTGACATGAAAGCAACCTTGCAAAAGATCATGGAAGAGAACCAAAACATGCATCAAAGAAAAAGAAAAAAAAGCATGGAAGTCATTTACCTTTTATCATCTTTGGAGCATCCATGAAGCGCTAAAGCAGTACAAGGAATCCAGGTAGTGGGTAAAGTTTACTGCCACAAAAGAATTCAAGGTAAACCTCAATTTAGTCTGTAAGTGTGCGCATTTTGGATTGAATTCCCAATTTATAACTCTTAACAATTAGGATCCAAATGTTTTCTTGATTTTTTGATTGAGTACTTTCATCAATTTTCATCTATGTTTTCAAGACTACTTTAGATATTCTATGCAATAAAATGACTTCATTCCAAAGAAACTTGATGGAAAGTTAATGAATATTAACAGATGGACTCGACTGAAGATCCTAGAATATTTGGGACTCGGTTGACAAAATTTACTCTTAGATATTCTAGGTATTGAATGATTTTCTCCCTGTTTCTTTAGCTTGCCACGCTTCTCCATCATTTTCAATTAGCAATATTCTAATCCTTTTCTTTACAATTTATTGCTGAGTTTTTTTTTTTCCCAAAAAAACTCCATAAGTATTGTATATAATATACATATTTTTATTTTTTATAAACATCTTATATATTTATATTAAATTTTTTAAGTAAGATATTTATCTTTAAAATATCTATATAAACATAGTTTTATTTCTCTAGATTTTAAGTCTCTCTAGACAAAAACAAAAAAAAAAAACAAAAACTATTGAACCATGTTTCTAGAGTTTCTTTCTCTAGATAACACAAATATTATTAAATTTTAGATAAGATCTTAAAAACATTTAAGTATAGAGAAAATGATTTATTGTTTTGGTATTTGTTCAAATATTATACTAACTTAGATATAATAGTGTTTTTTTAGGTATTGTAGTCTTTATTAGTTTTTTCAGGTCCAGTTTTATGAAAAACATTCTATATATTTCTTAATGTTTAATTAAATCAATGAATAATATATATATATATATATTAGACATTTCTTGATTGGGTTATCCAGTCAAAGTTTAAAATAATTACCATCTAGTAAATATGCAAATCCATACTATAAAAAAACAGTATTTAATATCTAATTGATAAAAATACTTTGATTTTAGATTAAATTGAAAATTAAACAGTTTTTTTTTGTGTATGCTGGACCAGGTTCAAAGATTAATTTGAAAAAACAAACATTAGCTTATTAGATAATTAAATTAACATATAAGTTATTAAATTAACTTGAATTAATTATTTTTAAAAAAATATTGGAGGTCACTCATCAAGTTTAAATTAAATTTGATTTGATATTAAAATAAATTTTTTATTTAATTCCACTAAAAATATATTTTTAAGTTAACTTTTAACCGGAGATTAACAATTATTTACCAACTATTTACAGTTAACTAATAAGTTAATAAATTTTTAGAAAAATGAAATATTATTCATCATGTTTGTTTCATGAAAAATAATTTTTTAAATTTTATTGTGGTTGTTTATCATTAGAAAAATTAGTTAATGAAAAATATTTTTTAATGAAAAAAATTTGACTTATTTTTTATAAAAAGTATTTTTTTTTATTTTGTATTTAATTAAAAAATTTTATCTATTATATTTGTTATTTATTTATTTATTATTTATTATTTTTATAAAAAATTGTTTTTTATTTTTTATTTTTTTTATTAAATTTTTTTATCTATTATATTTGCTCTCTATTTTTTTTATTGCTATTTATTTTTATTTAAAATAATATATAAAATAATATTTTTTTTAATTTCATAATGTTTTAACTTTTTTATTTGTCAAATTTGATTTTTATTTTTTTAATAAATTAAATATTAATAATTTATTTTTTAACTTTTTTTAATAACTTTGCTGAAGCCTACAAAATATTTTCTATCTTATGTTTTATTATATTAAAAAAAAATTTACTTTTAAAAATTTACTTAAAAAAAAAAAACATTTCGGGAGAAAACAATGTTGCTACAAACAAACGGCCCGTGTTATCTCATATATAGATATTCCTGATGGATTATTGAATTGTACCGATCATATTTACACTATTTTGGTCCGCAAGACTGCATACTTTCCGGGGCGGTAGCGAAATTCCTTGAGGAAAAGATAGTATTAATGGGAAAGGCCAACAAGCGGAGAAAGTCTCTTTTCATGTAGGTGGCAGATCCTTCGATCTAGGTAGCAGTGAGACTTCACTAATATGTCGAACGGGTAAGGTTTTTTTTTTGGTTCTGAGACGATAAGATCTGCTCTTATACATGTAGAAGAAATAATTATTTTTAGCGCGGCATGGTCCTCTAATGGCTTCTGATTATAAAATTAAATACATTTTCATCTATTCTTCTTTGATGATTTGGTTTTGTGTAGGAATGAATCAAGATTAATCCAAGGATCGTTGAAGATGTTGGATAAATTGGATCGCAAATACTTGCATGTTTCCAAGCATCCAGTAGGTATTGATTCCCGTGTCAATAAGATTATTTTGTTGGTAAAATTTGCTACAGACGATGCTTACGTTGTGGCCATAGATGGGATGAGAGGAGGAGGCAAGAAAACTATAACAGAGGTTGTGCTTAACGAATGTTAAATGTTTGAGAGAATTTGTTTTCTTTTGAATGTCGGAGAAATCTCAATTTAATTGGAAGGTCTGGTTCAATTACAAGAACAATTTCTTGAAATAAAGATTCTAAAGATAAAAAATGCTTTAAGAGGAATCAATTTGATCAAAGAACGAGGAAGGGATTTGATCAAAGAATGAGTTTGCCGCCAAAAAGCTCTTGTTGTTCTTGATGATGTAGATAAATTGGAACAATTAGATGCCTTTGTTTGGAGAGCAAAGTTGGTTTAGTTCTAAAAGCAGAATAATCATTACAAGTAAAAATGATCATTTGCTAAATGAAATTGAACCAGATGAAAAGAATTAGCTACAAAGTTGGATTGGCATGCCTATAGGAGCACCCATCCGAATGAGATTATGTGGACCTTTTGGATAGTGTAGTGGACTAGGACTTCCTTTAGCTCTTGAAGTTTTGAGTTCTTATTTGTTCAAAAGAAGTATACTTGTATGGAAAAGTGTTAAATGAGAAACTACAAAAAAAATTCCATACCAACAAATTCAGAATATGTTTTGACACACTAGATGATGATAATGTGAGCCCTATTCCTTGATATTGCATGCCTTTTCTTTTATTCGGACAAAGAATATATAGCTGAGATGCTCTATGGCCAGGGTTGCCTTCAAGAAATTAGTATTGGTATTCTCATTGTGAGGTCACTTATAATTATTATCCACTTGAATAAGTTAGAGATGCATGATTTGTTACGAGATATGGGAAGAGAGATTGCTTGTGAAATGTCACCTGATCAGGAAAACGCAGCAGAATTTAGCTTCCCGAGGATGTGCAGGATGTCCTCAACATTAGGATGGTAAGAATTAATTGCATATGCCTAATTTGGTCTTGCGCGCAAAAACAATTTTCCACTTCTTGCCTGTCAACTTTTTGGAAATTTTAACAAAATGTTTTGGCACGGATCATCTTCCACATCATTATATGTAATATTTCTGCTATTTTTGAACAGTTTTCAGGGAACGTAAGCTGTGGAGGGGCTCGCACAAGGTGTAAATAGTTGTACATTTTACATAAAAAACTCTACCTATAAGCACTAAATCATGTGTAAGGATGAGATATTTAATGCCCTTTGAAATCTTTACCATCCAATTTTCAACTGAAGAGCCTAATTGTTCTTGCTATGCATAACAGCAAAATCAAAGAATTCTGGACTCAGATCAAGGTAAGGCACTGTTTTTCAGTTGCTTTTTATGTTTTTCATGATTGTTTTTCGCTCATTTTCCTTGCTGTCTTTACAGCTTCTTAACAAGATGAAAATCCCAAGTCTCAGCTATTCCAAAAACCTTGTTAAGACACCAAACTTTCCGTGTTCAGGTCTAGAGAAACTAATACTCAGAAGCTTCTTGAGAAATTGGATTTATCAGGAAACAGATCCTTCAAATATACCTTCCAGAGTCACCTGCCTTTCTAAGCTAGGGTGTGTGTTCGTTATGAACTGCATAGATCTTCTATCAATCTCGGAGTTCCCTTAATGTTCAAAGTAGTTTTACGCTCTTCATTTCACATCAATGGAAAGCTCTGAAGTCATACAAAAACGATGCCTCCGCTGTTTTTGAGTGGGTGCCAAAAACTAATTGAGATTCATGGCATGAAAGGCGTCAGTGTCTGGCCCATTCTGTTGGATGACCGCAGCAATGTAGCAAATAATTTTAAGAAGACTTGCTCAGGTTACCCCTCACTCTCTTTTGCTGCATGCACACATACGCGCACGCAAGATTAGTATATTGCATATATTTTAAGGTTTAGAATCTTATCTGCACCAGTGGTGTGATACCAGCTTGGTTCAGCTATCGCGGAGACCGGTCTTCATTATTATCATTTTATGTTCCAGCAGTTGCAGATAGAGAACTACAAGCATTGATTGTTTGGTTATTTACGTAGCCATTGAGGCAAATGAAGGATCATTTGATGTTGCGTATGCCTCTACTGTCAAACGAATGGTGAAATACTTACCATTTACTGAGCTTCCATGTGCAATGGAAGGTGGAGAGGCATTGAAACTATATGTGGAAGTAAAGGAAGATAACGCTATAGTAGAAAATTTTGGTGTCCATACAATAGTTGAGAAGCTAGATGGGGGGGTACGGCCAAGGAACTTCGTTACCATAGCCCCCAGCATCTCCAGATGAGCAGCAGCTGGAGAGGAGATTTGTTGCCATTTACGTGCTTGTCCACGCCCTTGACACGGGAAATTTGGCTTGAGGAGTTCTTGTAATCTATGCATCATTCCTTATTATTGGTCAGAAATACACTTCATGTCAAATTCTTCTTTTTGGCAGGCACATGGGCTGCGCTGCAATCAATCTCATTTATCAATGAGTTCTTCATGGTTTCTCCATTGATTTAAATGCTTGAGTTTCCATCTCTTATTTTCCTTTCAATTTAGAATTTCCTCGATGAGAGAATAAAGAAAAGAAACTCTTCAAGACTACAGCCTCGACCATCCAATCCTAAGAGATGTGCTTGTCATGAACAAAGGGTCTAAGAAAGGAAAGAATTTTTTTTAGCCGAACATCTTATTTACGGATGAAAGAATGGAGGTGCCATTTGTTATTCCAATTATACATTTTTCAAAACGTTCCCACATATAATCAGAGAAACAGAGGCAATGACTGGACACTCTACAGGCACGAGAGACTGATAAGCAGCAGCTTCTAATTGACTTTGAAGGAACTGCCATTGGTTCCCTCCAGCCTTACCACTCAATTCTATTCAATTTTTTATTAATTATTTCCTATTTCCACATCTTTACAGT